TAACGCCAAGATGGAGGTTTGCCTAGACTTTTATTTGGAGCCATATTAAAATTTAATAAAGAAATTTTTTCTGAGTTTTACCGTGGGGCATTTTGTACGGATGCCGTTGATACTATGTGCAGGATACATTTAGTAAACGAATCTGAATAAGGATTTAAACGAAAAAGAGCGAGCAAAATTGAAGACAAACCTTGCGATTAATTATATTTGGGAGCCATATAAAATTTAATAAAGAAATTTTTTCTGAGTTTTACCGTGGGGCATTTTGTACGGATGCCGTTGATACTATGTGCAGGATACATTTAGTAAACGAATCTGAATAAGGATTTAAACGAAAAAGAGCGAGCAAAATTGAAGACAAACCTTGCGATTAATTATATTTGCAAACGGATGAGGATGCAAAAATATACAGAGCCTACATAGCAGAGGGTAACTGGGCGGGTCAATACTGAGAACAAAGTAACAGGCAAATATGACCGAGGCAGTTTCTCCGGCCAACTAGACTGTATTTGTGAATGTGCAGTGAAAACGCAACGAGAAGTAAACACAAGGGACTGCATAAATTTTGAGATTGCAGTGATAACACACACATTAATCACAAATGCCCACATGAATTTCCTTAGAATTTAGGCCAGAATGGCTTCAGATGGAGACATGCGACTGAGATTAACAAAGCTGTTGGTCACCACCGCAATGGCAAATGTACAAAATCATCGAAGCTTACGGATGAGCGGGTTAATTTTGGCCTCCAGCAATAGTGCTGACAGCCACGTGGCGATTTCGCTGACCGCGCACGACCGTTTGGGCGTTCTCATGAAATATTTTGTGCCAGGGAGATCTCGTAAGGTATCCAAACTCTCCTTTCTACTTGACGCGAGCAAATATGATGATTTTAATTTTTTCCACTGCTGACAATGTCCGCGAATGAACTAATACTTAATACAGCGCCTCTTTGCAAGAGTGGTGGAATTTATACCCAAAGGTACCAAGGGCTTCCACCAACACAGATAAGTGCACCACATCTGAAGAACTCTTCCATCTGCGGCAAGCTTGAATGCACAGATCTCGTTTTTGCGTGTGTCGTGATGAAGAAATAATCTTCATGTCTACGAAGGGAAGCTAGAATACTCACCAACTTGATCCATGAAGAACAGTGATAAAGTAAAATCTCCGCAGTGCGTTCGAGCACGACGACTTTGATCACGCGGTAGGCTTCTTTAGCTGTAACTTGTATTCTTGTTTTTGAGCGAGGAGCCGACCAGGTATCCTCGAAACATTGCAAAAGTGTGGACCTTAAGGCTGGTTGGACATTTCTTTCATGAAAACACACAGAGGCGAAATCGGATTAATCGGGCTACAGAGACGCGGAAAGTGTTTTATAAAAAAGTCTTTGCGGTTAGCAAGGAAGGTGCAGTAAGTTTTAGACAAGGTATGAGCCTACGGTGGAATCCTTTTTTACCAGAGAACGAGAATATTAGGTCAATTCAACTCTAGCGAAATATGCGTCATTTGTTCAGTAGACAAAATGACGGCTATCAGTTTTAACCTTGGTTAGCACTAGACGTACTGATGGGAGAAGAAGAGTGGACTGATTTTTCGGGTGACAAAATTTTACGCGAAACGGCGGCCCTATAGCCTAAACCTGAGGCGCATGAAAACGCGTGGAGTCGTATCTCTCTGGTTAGAGTTCAGAAGGATAAAGGCAATAGGGCAGTTTTGGTTCTGATGATGGGTCAATGACATGTACAATTCAGATTTTTCCATTTCCAGTTTAGACCTCCATATCTCAACTAGGACCCCTGGAACAGAAGGCCCATAGTAACTTACTTGGAAGAAGGACTAGAAAAGCACAAACATATGGATCATATAGGAGTGCTGAGGTGGCGAAGGGCCCCTTCTAGAGATTTGGAAACAAGTGGTCCCCACACTTTAGGAAAGCCATGAAGTTTCCTGTAGTGAACAAGTTTCAGGTTGGCGTCTCGCTGTAGAGTTGTTCCGCTAAAATTAGTCGTACTGGTAGAAAATCCTCTTGTTAGACAGCTAACCTAAATGGTAGAACCCATCAGCATTAAAGGTATTAGTTAAAACGTACTGAGCCTCAGGTAATAGGCTGAGTTTCGGTGACCCACATTCATTGGCTTGAACTATGCAGAGTAGTGCAGAGTAGTGAGATGTAGTCAAAGGGATGTTGGCCGATTCTGAATATGTAGGGTGGACTCGTCAGAGGACCCCAGGTTTACCTGAAAAGATTCGGTACCCACCTATCCCGTTCTTAGACGCGCACCTGTACATATATAGCTACTGCCTTCCAACGAAATTGATCTATAGCACCCGTGAGCTCATCAGCCATATCAGAGGTTTGTGAAAGCACTATGTTCATTTACCTATCACACTACTCATAGGGTGAGTTAGTTCATCATCCCATGACCGAATCCGCTTCTCATGGGGCTTAACAGGTGGGTACATCCATCCAGTCACCGTAATCCACTGCAACCGAGGTTAAAAGGATCCAATAAATACTCTAATTTGCGTACGAGTTGTGTTTTAAACAGTAGTTTTGCAGTGTATCCGTGTGCATGAAATAATCCAAACTCACTGTGTGGATGTGCTGAGGATAGCAGCCAGGGGGGCTAAAAACGGGAGAAAGCAATGCGTTAGTTGAATGCATCAGTAAGTTGGTAGGTTTCACATGAACATACGTTTATCAATTTATTCTCCCAGTCACAGAACACGTGAGGCAGAAGTGTGATTGCAGCAGAATACGACGGTACAAACATTCAAACATGCAAAGGGTGTTAGGCATTGGGAGGGCTATCGGTCATCTAGGTATGGTATCCAGGAGTGATTTCATGTTCTAACCTCACTAGCGCCGCCACCTCTGAAAGTAGACAAAATATAATGTAACTAACGATGGCGCACACTTTGACATCCTTGGGCACAATATACAGGCCACCCTTCCAGGAAGGCGCCGCCCATTGCACTGCCTACTTGAGGTGGTTGACATGCAGTACGGTTGACCAGCTCGGCTTACCAGGATAAACAAGGCGGTAGGTTACGTAAGTAAGGGCTTGCCATATCGTATACGGTCCCCTCCGTGCCCTATGAAAATTAGCCGGCATACCGCCGGGTGGAGCAGGTTCACACAAACAACCCCTGTCACCAGGGTTGAGCAACGTACCCTGTGCAGTTCTGTCCTAGTGCATCCTTTGGTGTCCCTTAATAGCGGGCCAGCTTATGGCCGAAAACAAGACCTGCCTGTGTGCGTCGCACGAACACCAAAGAATACAAGGCTTCAGGGTCGGGGTAGTTAAGAGCGTATCGGAAGAATTTCCCATCTCACGGCCCGTTGCCACAAAGCGTAGGGCTTGTCCAATAGACGTCTGGATATTAGCACGGTAAGCCAATGGAAAGCGCAGCGGTGCAACATTCCACTGCTCAAACATTTTGTGGTTAGTGAAAGCTTTTAAAAGACCTTTCAGAGTTTGATTTGTGCGCTCCACCATGTCACTGCCTTCAGGGTGATGCGCTGCAGTGCGAGTCTTCTCGATATGCAATATGTGACACGGTTTCTTGAACAAGATCCTTTCGAAGTTGGAACCTTAGTCAGAATGTAGTTGCTAGGGTACATCGGCGCGCGATCAGTTCGGTGAAGAGAGCTTTGGCCACTGTTCAGGCATCGAGTATTGGAGTTGAGATGGCCTTACACCACTTTGTAAAATGAACAACCATCATCAAGGTATTATTACAGTGAGTTTATTTACTAGCTTTTAGGGGACGTCGATTGAGATAACGGCTCGATAATATCCACACCAATCAATTTGTTTGGAAAGCCGGCTTTCTGTTGGCAATGGTACCAGAGCACTTGGTCTGCAATCTTTCTTTAAATCCCACCGTGCACAATTGACAGAACAGTACAACCTCACGCCTTATGCATGACCACCAACAGCGGTGGCGTGCTGACCGTTCCAGTTTGTTCTGTCCTGCATTACCTGATTCATCATGAAGCTTCAAAACTGTTTCGACTGCACTAGTTGGAACCACAACAGGAAAAAAAGAAGTGGGGTCTTTTTGATAGGAAAGGACACCATCAGTCATAAACAGTTGGGATCGAAGAGCCTAAAGCAGCACGTCGGATAGCTTGAACCCGCGATTTCGTCACTGGATGGCCGGTATTGGTCTTGGAACAGCCGTTCACGTTTAACTCGGGAACCAAAGATTAGGCCATGGTCCCCACCTAGAATTCTGGTGCATGTGGCGCCGTCGGTGAGGTGTAAGAAACTGAGCTTGATCAAACATAGTCATGATCGCCGATTGATTGACGGGAAAAAGCATTTTTAGTTGGCCATGGCTTAATTTTTTCCATCTTAGCGGGATCACATCGGATTCCGTTGGCTGAGATTGCATGCCCGTAGTAGCTCACTTTCCGTTAGAAAAACGCACAATTCGACGGCTTCAGCTTTGGTCTGAGTTGTCTGAATCGGTCCAAAACAGGTCTTAGGCTAGCCTTGTGCTCGAGACTGTTCTAGCATGTACGGCGATGTCATCCAGATATACTAGGCACTTATCTGGAACCAATCCACGCAGAGCTGTGTACACGAGGCGCTGGAATTTGACCGGGCCGTCGGTCAATCCAAACGACATGGTTTGGAACTCATAAAAGCTCGATGGAATCGCAAAAGCTGTCTTGCATTGGTCACGAGCTGCATTTCTACTTGCTAGTAGCCGCAGGCTTAATTTAGTGTGTTGAACCAACTTGCACCTCCTAAGGCGTCGAGGGCATCATCAGTCCGTGGTAGTCGGAACAGCCTTTCCGGGTGATCGCATTCAGCTTGCCACTGTAAAGAACCGTCGTGTTTCTTCACCAAAACTACTGGCAGGATAAATGATGGCGCGGAAGGTTTGATTATGTTTCTGTTAAGCATGTCATCAAGCATGTGATTTAACCGGTGCTGGTAATTAATCGGGATATGTCCTGGTGTTAAGAGGATGACCCGTGCATATCAAGTGTCGATGGGACGTCGCACGTGTTTCGTCCGACCAACATCTGAATCGTTCCTAGTCAACGCTTCGGCATGCTTAAAATACTCCCCAGTTCTGCCTTCGCCGACAGTTTCGTTGTAGTTAAAAGTCGAGGCAGCGTTAGCCAACTCCCAGAATGGACGGGTACACTGTTAGAGCCGTGAGTCTGAAAGGACACTTTCTTAGAGAAAACGCAACTTCTCAGGCAACAAGCCGCCCATGTTCCCTGCTCATTTTCCCAGTTATGCCCGTCGACTGTCAGGGGTGGTCGGTGTGTACTCGAAAGTCAACACTGCAAACAGGGCACACCGGAAGTGACTTATTTAACATGGTCCGCTGTGTCCGCACGTCTGGGCGCGTTTTCCGAAGTGCTAGAAGTATGGATGCTCATGGCTCGTGTGGGCCATTTCAGAGGCCTGGTAGGGGCTGGGCGCTGCAGCAGGAAGTGAAAGCAAGATTGGTTGGGACGCAGTCGCACGGGGAGGTATGGTTGTCCTCGATTTGGTTTCATCTGTCTATCGTGTTGTTGTTGGATATGGACGGAGGCGAAGTGCACCGTGTTCGGCTCCCAGAGCTGCCATGATGACTTCCACCTGGTGTGCTACTTAGTGTGCAGCTGAAAACGAGTGAGGAAGACTATCCAAGAGTCGCTCACGGAGTTGAGGGGCGCGGAGGCCGACGATGGTTTGCTCAAGGATATTTTCTTCCGTGGCTCATCGTGTAAACCAGAAAGCACGTTTTCAGTCATTCGCCGCAGTCCTCGGACAAAAATCGACAGTCTTTTGCTCGGTAGTTTGGTTCGCGACTGGAACCGATATTGATGTTTGACTTGGTGAATCTGTTCATTCATACATGCGTGAAGTCTTTCAAAAACATATCATGTGACTCTATCATTCAGGGTTTGTTCATCCCTCACTATGTCCCGGGCTTCACCATCCAATGAGTGGAGAAGGACACGTTTTTGATCACCAAAACGGAATATTTGGATGCATTCTAACGTGTCTGCAGCTCAGCGGCGAAAGTTGTCACCCAAGCAGAACTTATCTTAAGGTGGAATAGTTGGAGGAGATCCGGGGTGGATGAATCCAGCACTAATAACTGGCGATAAAAGTTGAAGATCGATTGCAAAGTTGTGTAGCGCAAGGGCCACAATGAACCACCAGATGCGGCAGGTCTTTCTTCACAAACGAGATTCAGCTGGGTTCTGAGTGAGTATCTCACAAAATCAAATTGGTTTGCAAATGAGTGTATTTTTGCACAAGCCCGCTGAAAAAACTCTACTGCAGCACACAGTCGGTGGTAAATATAGTATTCAGCATTGTTGATGAATGACGACGGGTTAGTCACCAATAAAGTTTCCGTTTCTTTTTAGGGTAAATCAGCAGAAGAATGTCGTTTCAGCCCGATCCGAGGAAAACAAGCGGTGCTCATCACACAAATCTCCGAATGATCGGACTTTTAAGCTTCTCGACTGGTAGTTGAAGGGAGGGGGCTAATCAACAGTGCCAGTAACTGTGCATCTGCAAAGACATAACATCAAAAATCCTTCAATCACAATTTTGCTAAGTGATTTGACAATTTATGAATTTAAAAGTCCGACATTGCACAGGCCTGGTAACATTTGAACTGGATTTCCGTCAAAGTGGCAATTTTTTGAAAAATGTGAGCTTTCGTCCCTAAAAGTTTCGTTTTGTTTATGCGCTTTTTGGATTTTTGAGAGTAAAGCTCACATAGGCATCAAGACAAAATATATGAAGTAACTTTATTTTTCTTGTCTTTAGGCTTTTTCTATTTATTTATTATGTACTTGTGTACTCCTTTTTCCTTGACAATTGAATAAAAATCCTAAGAACGGCCGAGTACATCCTAAAAGAGGACCGCTTGACCTTGTTCCTGAAGAAATTACTTCGTGAGATACTTCGACGTCGTTGACCTGCCGAATCAGTGGAGAGTTTTGCAAAATTCTCTCAGAGCTCTTTAGAATTGACAGTAGGTAGATGGGGAATGACGAATCTGAACCAAAGGCGAACTTTTTGTGGTGACATTCTGTGAGATTATATTGATGTGCGTGGTGGTTTTCCGAAAAAGCCATGAGATCCTGTCCCTAGTGTTAGGAAGCGTGAATTAATCATCTTGGTTACAGCCTTACGAAATTATGACAACGATACGCAGTCAGCGTACCACAAACACAGGTTCACCACGTGATGGAACAGCGCATTTGTACTGATTGCCTGACTAAATCAAAAAAATTGCGAAACACTTGTAACAGATGTTTTTTGTGGGGGGGGGGGAGCATTGTCTAGAAATGGACAAGCATATGCAGCTCTCCATAATGCGTGGTTGTTAAGTGTGGCTGTTCAAGCAAGCTTCCTGGTTGCTAATCTTATGGCGGCTGATCAGTTCGCTAAGAGCCCTGTGGTGCTTGTGTGTGTGTTTCATTACCATTCGAAAGGGCACCCCCAATGGGTAACATAGACAAAAACATTGGATGAGCGATTTTGATAAGTCCGTCGCCAACCCAGCTTGCGAAAAGGGTGTTTGGCCAGTCAGCTTCAATTTTCTGCTCAAAGGGACATGAGGTAAACGGAAACTCGAGGACCTATCCGATGAGCTGAAAGAAGGCCACAATCAGGTGCGGTCAGTTGCAGGGCTTTCAGCTTTCGTGAGTCAGTTTTCCACAAAAATAAATCCCCCGCAGTTTCTTACAAAAAGCACTAAATTTGGTAGTAACCACAGATACCCCTCAAAGGTGCTGGTGGGAGACAACGTAAAACATGGCAAGCATACGGACGTCAAGAAGTGCCTGGCCATTACCCTGCGTCAGGGAAAGCGGTCGCGGACAAGAAAGTCTTTGGCAAGTCCGGTTGCAAGATAAATTGCGCCCAGTGATTCGTTACGCGGGAGTATCTCAGCTTAGGCAACAGTTATCCGGTGAGATGTCGCATGCACCATCGTAGTACCTACCCCGTAGTGAGTGGCGCTACACAAATGCCGTGGCATTATTTTCATTGCAATGAGTTATTCCCAGTCAGAGAGCTATTTGAAAAAAACACCGAAACGCAGTGCCCGACTTGATAGCACCATCGCTTGAGGTGACATAATCAGGAGGCAACGGTTGATGCTCCTTTGGTGTGGCTCCTTTCGTTAGTATGCACTCAAAGATGCTAAGCTCATAAATGAAACCACTCACAAGTTTGCTAAAAACTCTTAGGCATCACACGAACATAAAGTTGATGGAAACTCGGGAACCGCACCCATCTTCTGGACATAAAGAAGGGCGAAACCGGTCATGGGCTGTCAAGGAGCCTTCAGCAACCTTGTGAGTAGTTTCCTTTAAGAAAATATACTGCGGTATTTGGAATGCGTAATAACTGAAGCATGAAGTACCCTTCGTGCGGCACATTGAGTTAAAGAATATCATAAAGGAGACATTCAATTGTCTTCCGTGAAAACCAGAGTGATTTGCAAATGAGTGTTTTTGTCGAAATGCTCGGTTTAGTTTTGTTTTCCTCAGAATAAATTTAACAATTATGCTACTTATTTTGGATGAGTAGTCAAGAATAAATTATGTTCTAGAAATGTTCAAGTACTGAGCTCACGGTTGTTCACACCCAACCAATAGCTGATTATCGCCCTTCTCAGGCGGGAAAAATCACTGCGGAGAGCAACTGATTTGTACTGAATTTTATCCAGTTGTGTGGCGCCAAATAGAATGGCGCTCAATTTAGACAAGATTTATTCAGAATGGGGCGGGACAGAAAAGCGATTCATTGTTGTAAATTCGAGCATTCTTGTCAGCACAACTCATTCGAACAGACTGTGCCACTGAAACACAACTAAAGGCCATACTACTGCGCATACTTTGGGTTCTTCGATCTCCATCTTTTTTATTCATTTTTGTATCATTTGTTAATTTTCTGGAAAATGGCGTTCAAATGCGATGATTCGATAGTGCACAGAATAACTAATAATTAATAACTTCCGATAGGATATCATAATCCAGACCCATCCAGTGCATCAGATTCATCAGTAACCCATGCTGGAATTATCGATGAATGTTAACTATACAAATTCGATCAAATATTGTCATTTAATGAAAAATGACTGACGTGGAGAATGCCGGTGACAGGAAGGGATGCAGACAGTCTACCTGTTGTCAAGGTAAAAGGGAAATTCTGAGTCGCTATTCGATTGGACCAGAAAATCAGGCACATTCATCTTTACAATCAGTTTCGCCACGCATTTGTTCGTGTGCGAGAAGTAAACTAGTGCTCCATTTCCCAAGTAAATATTGAAATCCACAAAAAAACGTCGCGGTCTCTCCAGTACAGCTGTGCAGAATTGTCGGGCATAGTTCACTCCCGTTGAGTGGGGATTAGCCTGATGAGACTGTGACGACCGTTTCGAATTCTTAAGCAACGAGCACCAAGGTTAGCAACCAAACCGGCAAAACTCCGAACGAATGGCTACCCAAATGCGCCGTACTATGAAAATGAAAGTAGTTACACGGAATACAAAATTACAAACCTCAACGATTTTCGACAAACGGTGAGGTACTCCAAAAGGCAAGCAAACCTGAAATGGATCAACAGTCAACGCGTGACCGAAACCGCGTCTCAAACTCATGAATTAAAACAATATATAGCTGCCCAAGGTTTTGGTACAAAAATAGTATAATCAAAGCGGTAAAAACGATTTGCGCGGTAAGGAAAACGGAAAATATGGATGTTTCGCAAAACTGAAATAGGGTTCAATTCCACCAGTCCAAAAAAGGGGCGGTCCATTTGAATTGTTAACTGGGAAGGCAGTCATTCAAGATTGGAGGCAATTTTAAATATATATGAAGTTGCAACAGAGACGACACTGTAAGGACTTCATCGGCAGGCTAGCTGCTTTACAGCATATGAATCACACACTATAGTGTAATTAACTGCGCTTAGATTGAACAGTTTAGTTAAACTCAACTTAGTAATATTCATCACGTGTAATGATAGAGACAAACAGTGTGCTGTCGAAAGGTAAGTGTCATCATCTCATCATCATCATCATCATCATCATCATCAGCTGTAATAACGGCGCACTTGACCTACAGTGGTTATAGCTGCCACGGTTTCGTTCACCGATGATTCGGGAGGTGGGGTAGGTAGCTGCGCATTGGAGGTTAAAACTGATAAATTAGTGTGTAAATGCAGTTCTGTAGGTGTACTGCTAAATAGGGGGATTGGGAAGGGAGCTATGCTTTGAAGGTAATAGTTTGGATGCATGAGCGCCATTGAGGGCGCGACTGGGCTATGTTTGGTAATGTCTCTAATTATTAATCTGGCTCGTTTCGGGGTCTTGTTGAAATACGAGTTTTGAGCTGAACAAAATGTGTGCATCTGCCTTGCTCTGTACTTATAACTGACATCGGATAGCAAACTAACTACTAGATGAACGTAAAAAGCACTAAAAAATAAGAAGCGAAATATGTACTCCATGACTGTATCATACCCTGGTGACTCCGCGATTTCGATCGATTGCAAATTTGAGCGCACACATTATCGGTGATCAGTCTGAATGCGCACTATATAGGGTCCACCACTAGCGCTCAGAAGAAGTCAGAGGAACCATAAAATCCAGTGGATAAATGAATCTAAAATATAAAAAGTCCTCACTCGAGTAGTAAGTCAGCACATGTGGTCAGGCGATGTGGCTACCGACAGGCGCTATGTTCTGTCTATGTGCGAGTGAATCACGCTGGTGATTGGGCCGCTCGTGGACGACTTGTCAACAAGCCGGGAGGTGGTGAGGTTGCGGTTCCTTGGAGTTTCGTTAGATGCCCATTACTGATGGTTCTCAATGAGGATTAAACAGTAATGAATTACTTCCAAACTTTTCAGCATAGATGGGCCTCTGTTGAAGGACGAAAATCCACCAACATCTCGACTGCCGTGCCAGGATGTGGGGAGGACAGTTCATCCGATGGGGATGTAGACATGAAATTTGCACTATCACTTTCCAAGGTCAAACCCCAATGTGGTACTTCAACGTGTTGATCCTGTGTGGCATTTCCTGACGACCAGTCGATTGTCCGATCGGTGTGAATGCACTTCAAACAGCTTGATTATCCCTGTCGGGTCGAGCGAGTAGGTTGACAAGTTGGCCGAGTTTTGACGCAGATAGAGAACCAATCAAAGAGGTGTCTTCTGAAATTAGCACATTAG